GAAAATATAGATAATATGACATATGAAAAATATTTAACATTGTCTTTTCACAAAATATTTACTAATAAATTTTGTTTATAATATATATTTTAAAAAATTTATTGATTTTTCAATTTATACATACTTTTCACTTGAAAACGCTTTTTGATAATTTAATTTTTAGATTTTACATTTTTTTACTATTTTAAAGATATATAAAATGTTACCAACGAATCTGTTGATTTAAGTAGAAAGAGTTTTGTTACATTTAAGTAAGGTTTAGAATTTGAGTTTTGTAAATAGAGAAATATATAGATACTTGAAGAGTTTAAATTTTTATGAAGTCCAATGTGACCTGATTTCGAATTTGTTGAAATTTAATATTTTTTTTGATATTAATCTCCCGGTATTCACTAACTACATTGGATTCTGATTAATCTGGAATTAAGTCGCGTTGGATCTCATTAGAGAGAAACTCTCCCAGCGCCTGTTTTTCCATTCACAAGATTCGAACTCGAGATCTTATTTAAGGAGAACCGAACTCCTTCCACTCGGATCAACATGTCGTTGAAATTTGATATGACTTTTAGATATTAAGAGTTGGTACCAAAAAAATATAAAATGTTAATTATATAAATATTAAATATATTTTATCTATTTTTTTAAATTCTCAAAGGACAAAAACCTTTAGCTGCAGTGACAACCTAACACGGTCAAACTATACCGCTAACACACTATTTTTAAGTCTATGTATTTTTTTTTATCCCTCTTAAAAAAATATATTTTTGGTTTCGCCATTTGCAGGTTAATAATTTGGACCCAGGAAAATGCTTTCTCAAAGGATAAAAGGAAGTGCTTTGTTAAAGGAAAAAAGAAGTGCTTTCATTTCCTTGTAACCCTGAAATGCATTGACTCTTCCGCTTAAGCTTTTGGTTGGCAGTGCGCCATGATGAAGAGTTTAATGGAATAAAGACTTTGGGAGAATACTGGTTCTATATTCAGTTGTATTATTTTCTGTACAAGCATATACCAATATATATACTTAAAGCAGCTAATCTAAATGCTGTAATTGAGTATACAGTTAAGGAAATTACAGATTGCTTTACTAATATAATTTGACCGTTGCTTTCAGAGCTGTTGCTTGTGTCTCTCCTCAATTTCTGCTGTGTGATAGATTTCTTGCTTTTTTTTATTATCTCTTGTCTCACGCCTTGATTAATTCTGTGCTTGTGCCTTCATACACGAGACTAGCATATCTCCATCAAGGATGCTGGCGCTGGTCTGCTGCAACTTGCAAGGGTGAATTTTTCTCCTTATATACATATATATATATATATATAAGAAGAAAAATATATATTATTCCTGACTTTATAAAAAATTAGAATTAAGTTGTTTTATTTAATTAAAATGTAATTTAAAATTTAAAAATGTATCTTATTAAATATTAATATCCAGATTTAAAAATTAATTAATTTAAATAGTAATGTTTTATAAAGTGAATTTTTAAATTTTAAATTAAAATTTTAATTTTTAAATATAAATTGAGATTTTAATTTCTTTTTGCGAGTCAAAATTGATATATATTATTCTCTGTACATATAAGAGAGATTTTTAACTGCAAGATGCCAAGGTCCAGAGGAACTGACTTGGAAGATGCTGATGATGTTGAACAAGTGGAGATTAGGCATTGATTTGACTGCTTCAATTGATTTAGAATTATAAGTTTGCAGAGCTGAGTTCAATGGATATTCTGCAGAAACAAAGCGCTTGCCTTTGGTTGGCAGTGCGTCAAGGGACTAGCATATATCTCCATCAATAAGGATGCAGGTGATGTGAAGAAAATTTGGCCTTGGTCTCTGTTTCAATTTGCAAGGGTGAGGTTTTTTTTTTAATTTTTTTATTTTTAATCATAAAATTTCCTCCTATATAATAACAAAAGAAAAGGAAATTTCTGTCCCATAGCTTTCTAGTATTAGTTGAGATATGGATATGTTTAATTTTGAGTTGATAATTTTGTTTAAGGGAAGAAATGGTAGTAGCTAGTTTTTGTTCTTTTTTTTTTTTGAACAAATTTGCAAGAGGTCGAATTCGAATCGTTGCCCTGAAAGTGGGGAAATGCACGTATACGTGACCTGACGCTATTGGGCCCGAAGGTCCAAGTGCAGCTAGTTTTTGTTCTTATTTCTTAACTTAATAAAAAGTATGATCAAATCTTAAAGTTAATTTATTTATTTCAAACTTGTCAAAAGTAAATTTCTTAATTTAATTTTATTTTTTTTATTATGACTAAGGAATTAGAAGTTTACAGGAAGTTGTTTACTGAGCAAAGTTTACATTTAAGGAAAAAGGGAATCTACAGAGTATCATACTACTGCTTTCTGCTTTGTATTTTGTTTCTTATTAATTCATTTAACTTGTCTTGCAGCTCAATTAAATAATATTGGAGCAATCAATTATAAGAGCAATGGTAGTTGGCGGGCGAAGGAATACTGTCTGCTTTCTTGCTACCTTTCTATCTTTGTTTATAATATCATTGCTTCTAGCAAATGGTGAAGCTTTTGATTATCCATCAACTTTGAAGCCTCCCTTCTCTTGGACTAACCACCCGTCAACTGACTTCAATTTTTGGGAATCAGCGGGGGAGAGACCTATCTTGGTTAATGGGAGTTTTGTTTGTGGCTTCCACCGTAAATTTGAAGGAACCGCCTGCCTCTTTGCTATTTCCATCCTTCCATCCAGTTTTGATGAAAACTCCAACTTTTCTACACAAACGGTATGGTTTGCCAATCGAAACAAGCTGATTGGACTTGGGGCAAAATTGCAATTTTCTCAAGAAGGGGATTTAACATTGCAAGATGATCATGGCACTCTGGTTTGGTCAACAGGTAAATTTGTTCCAGGAATGAAGTGAACTCATGAGGGTAACCTTATTCTGTTTGATAGAAACAATGAGACGGTTTGGCAGTCTGTTAATCATCCGACAGACTCTGTAGTTATTGGGAAGAGGCTAGTTTCTGGGTAAAAATTGGTGGCAAATATGTCAGCCACAAATTTTAGTGAGGGTTTATATTCGTTTTCAATTGATGATAATGGTTCTTTTGTAGCTTCTGCAGGGTCGGATGCTACCTTAGTCTATTATCGATCCTTTTGGGCTCAAATTAGAAACCAAACAGGGCAGTTTTATGCTAAGCTCACGAACATGAGTTATATACAATTGGGCTCTGATGGGCACTTGAGGTCCTTCGGGTGGGTAGAATCAAACTGGACGGAAGTCGATGATTTCTTTAGGTATCAACTCCTTCGATGTGATTACCCACTGGCCTGCGGAGAATATGGAATTTGTCTAGGAGAAGGATGCAGTTACCCAGAACCGGTTGAAAAAATTGGAGCTGTACATTTCAACAGGCTGATAAATCCTTCACAGTCAAGTCCAAAGCTTCTTGAGCTGAAGTATACAGATGAACCTAGTCCGTTTAGTTTGAACTCTCTTGCTTATATCATAACAGACATAGAGAGCTGCAAGAGAGCCTGTTTAAAGAACTTTCTTTGCATGTATGCTGTTTTTCAACCTTCTGATAAAAATTACTCAGATCCTGGCTACTGCTTTCTTAGATCTGAAGCTTTGTCATTCAAGAGAGTGCCTGCACATTTGAATCGATCTTTGTTTTTAAAGGTGCAGAATTCTCCAATTGCACAGATTCCACAAAGAAACAAAAGACAGAATGTAGGAGTTGTAGTTGGATCCACTCTCGGAGTCACTTTTAGTGTGTTTCTTATCTGCACTCTCTTTTTACTTAAAATTTATAAAAAGAATGCAAAGGATGTTAAGGAGGATTTTATGGGCCACATATCAGGAGCGCCCATGAGATTCTTTTATGAAGAGTTAAAGGTTGTAACCAGCAACTTCAGCAACAAGCTCGGCGAGGGAGTATTTGGTTGTGTTTTTCAAGGAACATTACCTGGAAGTGCTCAAGTTGCAGTGAAGTGCCTTGATGGTTTTGGTCCCCTAAAGAAGTCATTTATAGCTGAGATTGAGACCATAGGAAGCATTCACCATTTCAATTTAGTACGATTGGTTGGGTTTTGTGCTGAGAAACAACGCATGCTTTTGGTTTATGAGTACATGGGTAATGGGTCATTGGATCAATGGATCTTCTGCAGAGACAAAGCGCTTGTTCTTGGTTGGCAATGTAGAAGGAAGATCACTCTAGACATAGCCAAGGGACTAGCATATCTCCACGAAGAATGCAGGCAGAAAATAATTCACTTGGATATCAAACCACAAAACATCCTCTTGGATGAAAATTTCAATGCCAAGGTTTCTGATTTTGAGTTGTCTAAGCTAGGAGGGAGAGAGCAAAGCCAAATTGTGACAACGATGACGGGAACACCGGGTTATATGGCCCCCGAATGGTTGAACTCGGCAATCACAGAAAAAGTAGATGTATATAGCTTTGGCATTGTTGTTCTAGAAATTTTATGTGGAAGAAAAAACGTTGATCGATCTCTGCCAGAAGAGGATGCCCATTTGGTGAGCCTTTTTAAGAGAAAGGTTGAGGATGGTCAACTTCTCGATCTAGTGGATAAGTGCAATGAGGAGATGCAATCAAATACAACAGAGATTGTGGAGATGATGAAAGTTGCAGCATGGTGTTTGCAAAGTGATTATGCTAGGAGGCCTTCAATGTCCATCGTGGTGAAGTTCATAGAGAGTAAAACGGATGATGAAAACGAATATGATTTCTCAAATCCACCAGCAGCGTCTGAAGTGGAAACGCTCGGACACCAAATGGATGCAGCTGCAGTTACTGCTTCTACATTGATTCCATCTATCCTATCTGGTCCAAGGTGATGATATTGGGGAAGAGAAGACATAAAGCACGTGCTGCAATGGTAATACTTCATTTCTAGCTTCTGTTTTTAGTCAGAATATACTGCTCTCAGTTCTAAAGCTGTTCCAAGCCAGAAAGTAGAATGCAAATTACTACTACCAGAATTAGCCTGTCTTCCTTTCTCTTTTGGGAATCTCTTTGGATGCTTTATATATTTTGCCTTTTAATGGTAATATTTTACTTTTCAAAGTTTCTTGTAGTGCTAAAATGAATTAGTTTTAACACACCTGACCTGTAATGTCGATTGAAAATTGGTGTGTGTTTGGGTTCAATCCCCTTCCCTTACCTCAAAAATTGCCCTTACTCAAAAAAAAGAATTAGTTTTAACTAAAAATATGTATCTTTCACTTGATTGATAGAAACATTCTGACCACATTTATTTTATCTCTTACTTTTTGTTTTCAGTGTTAACTCGATCGGCTTCATCTTTCCTTCTAAATGCTAAGTAATTGAGAAAAACTTCACTGCCCAATTAGCGGAAGAGTAGAGACTGCCACTAAAAGAGAAATCGATAGATAAGTGAAGTCCTTTCCTTGTGTTTGGGGTGTTTCCTTTTTTTATTTTTTTGTCCATTACAAATTTGTCATTTTTGTTTTAATGTAATAGTCTTAGCTACTTCAACTTCAAACTTGTGTTGCAGCTCTAATTTAATTACGAGTGTCAATCTTGTGTAATCTTTTCAATTTTAGTTAGATTATTATTTTATATGAATTTATAGTTAAATATAAATTTATGTATTAAAGCACTTAATAGCTATGCCAAATAAACTCGCTGATTACTACAAGTTTGAGGATTTGCATACAAATAAAGTACTTGACAAACATAATTTCATCTTTTAGAAAGCTGGATTCCCAATTTAATCTCTATAATATAACAAAAATAATTGAGTTATAATGTCTTATATAATGTGATGACTTATCAAATTAGTAATTGAATGATTGGAATAAACTGGAGTTTACAATTCACAAAATTTTGCAGATATTAAATGTGGTGATCAGAAAAATTTAGGACGTTTCAATAATTAAAATGTTAAAAATAATAATAAAAAAATTAAAATATTTTAAATAAATTTTTTATTAAAATTTTCATTAAAATATTTAAATAAATAAATAAATCTTAACATTTAAAATATTAGAATATCTTAATTTTTATTTTTATTTTTGGTTAAGGGATTTGCTAGAAATTCTTAGATGACAACTTGACAGTGTTGGGCTTTTTCCCACCCATATTTTCCACGGTCTTGTTATAATAATGCATCTCATTTGGGCTGCACGTAGTCTTGTTTCGGTCTATGAACGGAACTTTTGGGCCTGCTGTGCTGACCATGAAATTGGACTCAGCCTTACTACCCTTTATTATTCTTTTTTTTTGGGAGGGGGGCCGGGGCGTCCGGGTGGGAGAGTGGGGAGGGGGTGGGGGTGGGGGTGGGGGTGGGGGAATACTACCCTTTATTTTGCTTTCCTAAATTACACATGCTTAGCAAGAGGCAGTTATGCTCGGTACATGGAAAAAATCTAACGGCCAGTACTAATCTTTCCCCATGTCAAAACTTATACGAACGGTATCACGGACTCAAAACTCATACCAGAAATCTATTATTTTTTAACTTCAAGATGCTGATGTTGAAGAAGTGGAGATTATATTATGCAAGGCCATTATAGAATTTAGAAAATGGAAATTAGTAGAATTTTTAGCTGTGTGAATTGATAACTGTGAATTCATTTTGGTTGTGTTTGGAAACTTAAATTTGAATTTGATGAGTGTAATTAAAATACATGTATTTGATAACTGTGAATTCATTTTTGTTGTGTTTGGGAATTTAAATTTGAATTTGATGTGTGTAATTAAAATACATGTATTTTCAAATACATTGCTTGGATTAAATTAAAAAAATAAATTTTAAATACATACATTTTTAAATATATTGTTTGGATATTTTAAAATACTATATATTTAAATTTGAATTTTTTCATTAAATTAAGTCTTCTTTTAATTATTAATTAAATTTAATAAAGTCAAGGTTACAATTTTAGTTTTTCAAAACATTATTTAAATTATCTCAAGACAAACAAATTGGATAAAAAAAAGGAACAATAACCTCCATTGATCAATTTGTCATCATATTCTCCATTTTTTGTTCATTTTTTCCATTGTCCTACCATATTCAATTTTTGTAAAGATGGATTTATCATGAAAGAATTTCAATATAAAAAATAAAAGAACAAAATAGTATCTAAAATGATTATCAACTATGTCCATTAACAAAATAATTGAGGCAACACTTCTTAATTGCAAAACGAAATAGAAATATGACATTTTTCATTGAAAACTTCAAACAACTATGTTTATTAACAAGTAGTTGAGGTAACACTCCTTAATTAAAAAATGAACTAGAAATATAACATTCTTTGTTGAAGACTTCGCAATAAACCATTGAGTTGAAGTTGAAAGTTGTGATAGAATAGGTCCTATATCAAACTAACCTGAATATTAGAACCTGAATTTCAGAGGCCAAGAAATGCAGACGTTATTTCTTATTTTATCTTCATGCATACGTTAACCTTTAAAATTAAGAACCTGAGAAATCTGATCTAGGTACTTATCTGTTCCGTTTATAAATTGTGTGCCACCTCCAGGGAACTTGAACCTATCTTTGACTCTTGAAATCCAGTTTTGACCTCCTTTATCATCAACTAGGCGCGTATGAGGAACATTCCTGAACCATACCTACACATTAAGGCAGCATATCTTATTGAGAATAACATGATAAGGAACAACTGCCACAGAAAAGCTTTCAAATGACCCTATACACTCTTCAAGTTCTAATTTCATATAGAAATGGATCCCTGACATTCTTGGAAAATCCGTAAAACTGATTAAAGCAAACAATATAAAGGATAAAGAATCAACTAAGCAGAGTTTGAACATTAATGTGTTTTACTAATATGAATATGAAACCACCCAAATGTAAATTGAAACTAAATGCGTTAGCTTTTACAACTACAAGAGATAAATGCAACTGAAAATGAGACTAATACCTCGTCACGGCTCCTGGGCCATGGAATTGGAAGCCTGTACCCTTTTGGTACAGTAATTAGGCAATTCAATATCCTTTTCCCACCTCCGGACAATGCCGTTCAAACCTCTCTCCTCTTTCGGTCGACTTCAACCTCTTAATGGCCTCTACATTATCCATACATGGTATATACTCTCTCATACTCTGATTGCACGGCCCAAACTTCATATTCTTAAACTTATATTTCGACTTCTCACTCTTCTCCTCATGAATCTGTGTGTCGTTCCCCCAATTCTCAACGAATTCTGGATCAAACTTCCCGACCTCGAACTCATCCGACATCGTTCCGTTCTCATCCACAATTCCATTGATTTGATACGGCCGGGGAGGGAGAAGAGAGGCAGAAGGCAAAACCGGAGAGGGAGAGGGAGACAGGGCAGATTTCTCCACTGCTTTGCCATAATCAACCGATTTTGTTTCTGTTTGCGTTTGCGTTTCATTAATTAGAGCGGAAATGTTGAACTTCTTATCAAGATTAGGAGAGAGAACCACTTCTGCAGGTGTTCCCACCGCTGGAACTTGTCGAGTGAAGAAGACAAGCTGCTGGTTGCCATCGGACCAATACTTGCCTAAGTAGAAGAAAGCAGCGGACACGAAGATGAGAGAAACGAGAGAGTCAATGATGGGCGGACGATGAAGGCCACGTCGCCGTTGGTGAGAGGGGAGAGAGCAGAGAAAATTCATTTCAAAATTGAAATTCATAGGTTTGAGAATAAAATTAAAATACACGAATTTTACTCTTTAGAATTACTTTGCTCAAATGCATGTGTTTCTTTTAAATTTAATTACTTTTTATTTAAATAAAAACAAATAATAATATTAAATTTTAATCTTTCAAATTCATATACACTGTTTTAAATTCATGTTATTGAATATGTCATTTTTAGTATTTTAGCTCTGTTTAAAAAATCTGTCTTCTGTACCCAAAACCAAAAAAAATCTAACTTCGTTTCCTTATTAGGAGACAATAGGGGTCCTTCATATTTTGTATTTTTATGGTGATATGTGTTGCAGCTTGATTACTAAATTTTAGACAAATAATTCTCTTATTGTTTCAGTTTTTTAACTCTTCCTGCCTGCCAATTGCTTCGAGCAATTGTTTTTCATTTAAAACAGAAGACGACATGCATGATATGGGTCCCATTGGTCCCACTAGTGAGTACAAGTGTACAAAAAATAACTAAATAGTTTGAATGTTTGACTGTTATAGCAATTAACGGTTAACGTAAACGGTAATATGGACGGCATCCAAATTGAGGATGACATTGAACAAAAAAAGTATAGTTAAGGGACGACATTTATATTGTACGTCAAGTAGAGGGATGACATTGAACATTTCCTTAGTAGAGTGACAGTAATGAACATTTTTACAAAGTACGAGGACTACAGTCGGCTTTAACCCTTTTTCTTTTTTATTCAAATTTAATGACTTTGTATAATATATTGTAAGGGATTATTCTTATCTCAAAATAATTGTTATTTTTTATTTTGAATTTATTTTAAATTAATTATTATTTTCATTTTTTAGGATAGATAATTTTTTTTTATTTT